TGAGATCCAGGGAGAAAGTGCAGACTTTGGAGGTGTGATCCAGTGGTTAGGGGAGATATTGGAGACCAGTGGCATCAAGCTGACTGCAGGAGCCCTGCTCCTGCTTGTTTCAGTTCCTGGGAGCTAATAAGCACCAGCTGCAGGAAACCTGAGCTGGAAAGCATTGTGCAGCTTTCCTTCTGTTCAAAAATATGGCCTTTTTTTCCCCCTTACTGTGTTTATGTTTTTATATGTCGAAGAACATCACTTGTAGGGCAATCTAGCAGTGAAAACAATAGTGTGACAGGGGGACAGGTTCAGGTTGGACACCAGTGCAGGAAACACCTGTGAGCTCAGTGCCATCCTTTCCTCCATGGCTGCACTGCTGTGAGCCCTGCCCCAGCCTGTGGGGCAGCTGCTGGCCCTGACTTAGAGCTTCCAGCAAACTCCTCGAGTGCTGGATTTGAAGTTCAGCTGCTTTGGACCAACTCTGCTGTGAAAACTTGGGAATGATGTTTGTTTGCCCAGCCAGAGCTCAGGAAGGTGGCTGTTTTGCAGGGTGGCTGTGCAGAGCTGCTCCCAGTGGGTCTGTGCTCTGCAGGACCCTCTGGTAGTAGATGGGAGGTGTGGATGTGTAGGAGAGTTCTTGGGGTTTTTTTTATTCCTTTCTACAGAAAAAATCTGGGCCATTCAAATCATTTGCCTTTTCCCTTGTGCTGACAATTTAACAGCCTTTTTAAAAGCTTTGGTTTCTCTCAAGTACGCTCGCCCCAAACTTGTTTTAATTCTTGTGTGGAGGCCTGGAGCTTAACAATTATTTTGCTTAAGCTCTCTGAGACTTGCCATAAAACTTTTTTATTTTTTTTAAACACACACATGCTAATGATCCCCATCAGATCATATTGTTAAACAGGGAATAAAGTACTTGCACCATGATGACATTATTTTAAAAAAATGTTAAAAGCAGGCCAGCAGAGCCCATTTCAACAGTTTTGTTCTGAAATAATTTGCACAGATTTGTTAGAGTTAATTTGTTGAAAAGTTCAGTGTTTGTACAGGCAAGTCCTGATTTCCACACCGAGACACAAGAAGCAGGAGAGGAGCAAGTGGGTGTCCAGCATTTGCAGGAACAGGCTGGTGGGAGCTTTCCCTCCCTCTTACCCCTCTGCCCCCTCCCAGCTGCCCGGTGCAGGAATATAAAAGCAGTGTCAGAAGGCTGGGAAAGTCGGCTTTGGATTTTTGTGGACTCCTTGCAAATCAGAGGAACTGTCTGGCTCAAATCTGCTTTTAGGGCCAAGAGAAGAGGATTTCCTGCTATTTAGTTGCTTGAGGAAGGAAAGGATTTACCTCTCTGCTGTAGCAGGACTTAATTTTTCTCCTTTTTAATAAGAATATCATAACGCAGGGCAGCAGCAGTAAACCTTCGAGAGCAATCACGGCTCTCCCTCCTCTTCCCCGAGGTGATGCAACTCCCCCCTGCCCAAGCATCCTCCTGTCACAGCTCCCAGCCCCAGCAAGGGCCTGGCATGTCCCTGCACTGTGAAAGAGAGAGTTGTGGAGGGGGTGGCTGCCGCCTCGGCCACCATCTGGATCCAGTTAGCTCTCTCGGCAGTAGGGCTGAGTCTCATTTCCTCCAACCAGTAATGTTATATAGGCAGTGATCCTGTTCTGCCCTAACATAATTGAAAATTATGTGTATTGTAGACTCGCAGCGCTGAAATGTAGACTTGTAAAAATCTGTGGCTCAGGTAGCCTGTGGAGATTGAATTTGGCACACAATGAGGCTTTTATGTAAAGTAAGAATTATAAGCCACCACATCAATATTGTGTTACAGGCATGACAATTCTTGGATGAGGAGGCCTTGAGTCAGGCTCGTCACCTTAAACAATGCTAATATTTCATACTTTATCAACAGGGCTGGCATTTTGAAGCTAGCAAACATTTTTTTGCTTTTGCAAACATCCTGCTGTTGAAGGTGTGGGGTCACTAGCTTGATGTGGGCATTGGCTGTGGGCTCTGGCCCCCTCTGCTTATCTGACAGACAGAACATCTCATCCTTAGCAGGGCTGGGGGGCTCCTCTGGATCCTGGCCACTTGGTAGAGCTCATGGAAGTTGCTTTATCAACCCTTGTGCTTTACTGCTTTCCCTTGGGTGTGGTTATTTGATTTTATTTTGTCTCCCACTGGTGTGTTATCCACTGGTAGAAATGGAAGCTGTCCATGTCTGTGCTTGTGTGCAAAACTGAGCCCTCTGGGTTTGGACTGTTCCTGCTGGGCTTCATGTGCATGTCCAAAAGAAGCTGTTTGTGCTTTAGCCTTTGCACTGTAAGACTTCTTGGATCCTCTTTGCCAGGGGTGGGTAAGAGAAGGGCTTTACTGAGAGTCCAGACTAAGGGTTTTAAAAGGAGAAAAAAAAAAAAGTGTAACAGTAAGATCTTCTGAAACGTTCTTCTTGCCCTGAGGTCAGCCTGGTGTAGGAGCTGAAAGCGTGTGCTGAAAGCGCGGGCTGTTGTGGGATAGAGGTGGAGTGGGAGCAGCCATGCCTTCTTGCTCTGTTTCTTCTAATGGAATTTATTGCTAGTAAAAAACAGCACAACTGACAGTCCTGAAGGCTTTGTAATCCCTGCAATAATTACTGACTGGATGGGGTCTGCTGTGAGCTCACCCCTGCTACAGTCTCAGAGAAGCCCACAGGTTTCTCAGCCTGTGTTTTAGGACAGCTGCTGACCTGAGCTCCTCACAGGCTGTCATGGTTGTACGGATGGATATTCCAGGGTTGCTTGCTTGTATGACTGTGGAGTGGTCATGGAAAAATGAAGGTGATGAGTTTATTTTTGTGGGTAATGGCTTGGTGTCTGTTCCCTGGAAATCCACAGTTTGAGCTGTCATGTTCTTGTAGAGGTTTCAGCTGTGGCAGCGGTAGGTTCTTGCTCTCCAAAAACCATTGTGAACTTTGAAGCAGAGTCATGCACACATCCTGTGAGGACGTTTTCCTTGGAAGAAGGGAAAAATACTTCACTGATTGTCTGGAAAACCTGAGGAAGCCAAAAGTAGCTGTGACCCATCAGGACCCGTTCTGGAAATTCATGCACCCCTCTATGTGGTGGTGTTTTGACTGCTGTCTAAGAAAACCGGTGGACTTTTGAAAATGTAGCAGTTTACTTGTTTAATAGTGCCATCTGAAAATCTGTAATATATCAGATTTCCTCTCAAGTTTAAAAGTTGGCTCTCAGTTGGCTTAGGCTTTGGGTCCAAATTCTACACACTCCGGTTGCATTTTTATGCACTTTTTTGAAACCACAAAGGGTTAGAAAGTTGCTTTAACATCATCTCAACTTTAAAATTTATGTTGTGGTCACATATATTGAAGAGCAGGGATTTGATGCAAGTGATCAAATATCTGGAGACTTACAATTGAGTTGTAAGAGTTAGAAATATTGCTTATCGGTAGTCTAGTTCTGGTTTGTTTGGGTTTTATTTCTTGTTTTTAAGAAGTGCTGAAACATTCTGGTCCACATTGCACAAATCCCAAATGTGAACATGAATAAAAACAAGACTTCTTGGAACTTGTGGAACTCATATGGGGCACAAATCCAGAGTATGGGTTTGTTTATTTGCATTCCAGTAGCTTGGAAAACTCAGGCCCTCCAAGTGATGGGAATTGGTAACACATTCTCCTGCTGGTTTCTGCTTTTTGGGCACCTCAGTGCCCAGAGTCTTGCAGCAAACAGGCCCTGCATGTGAGCAAATGTTTTGCATACGTGAGCAAATGTGATAGATAGTGATGTGCTTAAGGCATGGAACCAGATCTCCTTCCTTCCTCCATGGAGATTCAGATACAGCTTCCGCTGTTCGCCTGGACGCAGGGGCTGCTTGTGCATGGTGCTTCTTCAAGATTACTCTTACTTTAAAAAAAAAAAAAAAGAAAGGAAGGAATGGGTAAACATAACTATTTCTCTAGTAGGTATTTTCTAGGAATAGATCTGTCAGATCAAGCAGCATCTTGAATAGCGCTGAATAGGAGCTTCTGCAGTGGTCTGATGTATATGTGCAGCTGCTTTTCTTAGTTCTGGGAGGGGGCTGAATGTATGTGGCTGTGCACATTTCTTCCAGCATGATACAGGGCTTTTAGAAGTCTCTTATTAACCGGTGTTAACTGGGACAGCACACAGCAGCGTGCAGAGAGAAAAGCCTGGGCTGAAATTATATTTAGATGTACAGTGCAGAAGTTTGTTTGGGATAACTAATTTCTCTGTGGACCTGCTTTTGTTCAGAATGGAGCACTTCTGGTGCAGTGAGCTGAAGCTTTTCTTGCTTTTGAGTCAGTGCCCCCATATGCTGCAGAGGTGGCACCTGTGTGTGTGTCCAGCCTCTCTGCTGGTGGCAGTGCCACAGAGAAGCTGTGGCTGTCCCCAAGCCAGGGTTGTCTGACAGAAGATAAGCATGAAGAAGATCATCCATGGTGTCTTCCAGAAATGGTGAAAAGTAGAGAAAATAGGTGCTAAGACCCAGCAGTCATTTTGGGGTAGTGCTCTGTCTTTAGGGCTCGTACAGCACTGGGGAGTTGGAGCAGTTGACTTGGTACATTTGTTAAAGAAGGCTGACAGATGACCTGCTCAGTAATGAGATCATATTCTTAATCCATGATATGTTTTCCCTCTCCTGACACTGATATCCACCTTTTCCCTTGTCCCATCCTCTCCATGGTTATGCGATTTTGTTTCTTTGTGAGTTTTATGCTACTTCTGCTGCGATCAGTAAAATTAATGTAATACTGTCTTTGCAATCTGTTTTTTTTTTTCTTATTCCTGAACTGTAACACAGTGGTATGAGATTGTTCGTTCTGCACAGATTTTGTATCCACAAACATGTAAGGTTGTCTTAATTTTTTGTTTCAGTTCCTTGCATAAATTTTGCTTTATACTTTTTTATCCATGTTACCTAAGATTTGTTTTTTTTTTTTTTTGCCTTTCTTTTCTGAACTCATTTTTCTTTTCCCATTTTTGTTTCCTCCATCCAGTATCTGCAGATGAAATGGCCACTGCTTGATGTTCAGGCAGGGAGCCTTCAGAGTAGACAAGCCCTCAAGGATGCTAGGTCTCCATCTCCAGCACACATTGTTGTAAGTAAACACAGAAAGATGTTCTTCCTTTGTTTAAAAAAGAAAAAAAAGCATTTGACATTAATGGCAATGGTTGTCATCAGTTTTCCTTTACACGGACCAAAGGAGAAATACCCCAAAACAAAAAAAAATCCCTAACAAGCCTGTGGTAAAAGGAGGGAATACTTTTGTTATCACTGGGCTGAAATTATGAAATTATCATCCATGTGCCTTGCAGGAGATCAGGGAGTAAAAAATACTCTAAATTTACACACTGCAGAATTATGTAGGGGCAGTGGAGTCCAGTCAGGCTGGTTTACACATCTGACAGTGTTGAAATGAAGAGAGTGAAGAGACTGTCTGGAAAGCTTAACCTTAAGAGTGCCTTAGAAAAATCAAACCCAAGCCTATTCTATGTCCTTTACCTAAAGAAATATTTTCTTATTGTGAAATCCTGGATGAGAGTTTGAGAGTTGGTCAGGATTTTTACCTGGGTGAAGGCTCAAAAGAGCCAGGTTCAACAAAACACATGTTCCTTTGTGTTGTGGTGACTTCTCATTTAGTATAAACATTGTTATCAAATGTTTACTGCTACCTGCAAAATATAAACTCTCTTTATAATGAATAGTATTTAAAAGAATATTGTTATTTATTAACTTCTGAGTTAAATTTTCAATTCTTGGTTAATTCTTCTTGTGCTTCTGTTGTGAAAATAATGTTGAGTTTGCAATGTTCAGTACAAATTTACATGAAAGTGGTTTGGGGGTTTATTTTACTTTCTAAAATAGCACCCATAGAGTTCTAGAAGGAAATGGTTTGTTTATGTGGTGATTTGCAAGAGCAGAGATATGCAATGGTCCATCTTCACCCACAGCCAGTGTCGGTGCCATTTATTGTTAAGGAGCATCTTAGCTCTGACTATTCATCTGGGACATTTACCTCTGGAGAGAATGGCACGTACTGGGTTAGAATATTTCTTCCAAAAATAATTCATCACCAAGTTTAATGTGATTTTTTGAAAAACTTTTTTACAACCATTGGATGATAAGGTAAATGCCAGGAAAAGAAACTGCTCATTCTTTACTTTCTGCTCTATAGTCTAGAGCTGACACAGCTGGTAGATCATCCAAGGCACACATTGGTTTTTCTAGAAATCTCTAATCATACTAAACATTTTGAGGTGTTTCTTTTTCCATTGTTGTCTCTTTAAACTGAGAATTGTCAGCTCATTGTGATGAGTGTCATAGTTCTTTATTCAAAAGGAAAAATTATTTCCTATATTTTAGAATCCATAGCTTCTAAACCATCATTCAAATCATCAGAGAGCAATTGGAACAAGACTGGTATCTGCCCAGTTGATATCTAGTGCTGGCTGCTTCACTTTTCCAGAATTACTTTGCTTTTCCTTCCTGTCCACTTGGGCTGTCACTGGAGGAAGAGATCAAAGAAAAGATGTCTGGCTGGTTAATCAGAAATCTACAGTCATCAAAACCTGCCATCATCTCACTCCTAATAAGAAATGAGCTAGAGAAACTTTCCTATTTTAATTCTTTTCTTTTTACTGCTGTGCCGGAGGACTGACACAGGGTGGGAATGTTCCCGTGGCTCTGGCATGGTAGAGTGGTGTCAGGCTCCTTGGAGGTGATGGAAGAGGAGCAAGAGGCTTCTCCTGGGTAGGGCAGCTGGGGAGGGCAGGATGAGTTTGGCTGGGATCACCTGAGCTTCCCAGTGCTGAGCATCCAGTGTCCCTGAGCCTCCTGGCCTGGAGGAGAGCAGACACTTGCCTTTAAAAGCCAAAGCAGCCTGTGCTGCTCAGGGGTTTGACTGGGGTCTCAGCTCCCCCCTGCCTCTCTCCAGCCCTTCCACCCAGGTGTGGGCGAGGTCAAGCTAAGTGGTCAACAAAATATACAAAAAAGGGTTCAAAAATCACAATCATTTTGGAAAACGAAGCGAAACCTGCTTCCAGGGAGGCTGAGGTTGATCTGCTTTGTGTTTTGACCATTTATGGGGTTCTTATGGATCTCTTTAAAAGCTGTTTCACTCTGCTATTCAATAAAAAGCATATTTACCATAGCAACCACTTAGGCCATGAGGAACATATACTACCTCCGAGATGGAGGCCACCTTCCCAAAGAGCCACAGCTGGCATTTGTAATATGATCTTTTGTGCTACTTACAATGTTGGAGGGAGGGAGGGAGGGGGGAGAGCAGTGGGTTTTTGGGAGGGGGGGGGAGGTTCTGCAAGGTTTAATGTTTATTTCTAGCAGCAAACTGTTTTGCCTTGTTCTGTTAAAATATATAAATAAGGGGCAGCTTTTTCCACCCTTTTTCCTGGCACCGACCCCAGGCCACATTAATTTTGTGGAGTGAAAATGGTTTTTTTTTTTGGTAAATAAAGTTAGAGCGGGTAATGGCATTTGGGGGAGATAAAGTGGCTGCAGATGCCAGTTGGCCTGGGATGTGTCAGGCATTTCTGGTGTCCCCATTGCTGCTGCTGTGCCTGCCCACAGCACCTGGGACCTGGCTGCTCTTGCACAGGGCTCTATATCCACTTCTGTCTGCATTTGTGAAAACACAGTTAATCTTTTTGTGGAACAGTGATGGGTATTTCGTGGGCATCCTGGTGTTTCTGTACAAGTGTAACATGTAGGGATAGAAACTGGTTCTCTACCCTGGTTGCTGTGTCTAGTCTACCCATCAAGTGTACCCATGCCAGTTTTTCATCTTCAAATCAGTTGGGCTGCCCTGAAGATCTGTAGGAAAATGCTAACACCTGCAAATCACTTCTTATCTATCCCTTATCTCTGAAATCAGGATTTGAGGCTAATCTTCATAGCTGGATTACAAAGAGAGGAAAGGAGAGTGTGGTGGCTTGGGTTTCCCTCCCTCTTTTTATTTCCTTTTTTTTTCTTTCTTTCCCACTTTCTTTTTTTTCTCTTCCCCCCCCCCCCCACACCTTTTTTTTTTTTTACCCTTCCTTTTTTCTTTTTTTTGTCTTTCCCTTTTTAACACTCTTTCTTCTCAGTGCTTGGCTGTGACAGCCACAAGCTCTGTGTCAGTTTTTACTCCCAGCTCCAATGAAACTCCCCATAGGAGTTCAGCTTAATGACTCAAGGCTGCATAACATGGCCGTCTCTAATGTCTAAAGTAAAATCTGTTCTATTTGTCAGCCATCCTCCTTTCAGATTTGTTTAAGAACATTAAGTTAAGACTACAAAAATTGAAGCAAAAGACCAGCATGAATAATTTGGCTGGATTGCTGTCCCCAGTGCCGAGGGCTGGGTTAATTCTGCTTTTTCATGGTGCTTGAGAGAGTCTCCAAGGTCCATAATGAGAAACAGAATATTTAACTGAAATTATGTTCAGTATGTCTTGAGGAAGGTACAGCATGAGGCTCCATTTAAGACCAGTGCATTTATTTACATTTAGGTGCTTCACTCATCTGGTAAGACTTTTTGCATCTTGCTCTGGCACAGTCATGCTGCTTATCTGTGTCCAAAGGTGAAAGAAAACTGGGGCAAAAATTGTTTTAATAGTATGTTATTAAGCTTGCTGCTTGCTAGGTCAGAATTTTGAATTCAGCCTGCAGATAGTACTATTATGAGGCTGGGATATTTTTAAAGTGCTTTTTGTGGCTATTTCCCCTCTTTTTTTCTGACCTTTGATTTCATTGAAGGTATTAAGATTTTGTGAAACAGTCTTAGCAGGATGTTTTGCGTGTAAAGCAGACCCCAGCTTGCTCTCAGGGGGTGGGGTGCCAGCTGTCCTGAAGTCCCATGGTCAGTGTGCACCTGATTTGATCCCCATGTGTGCTGCCAGCAGGGTGATAAGGATGGGAGATGGGTGATGTAGGAGAGGGAATCTCACATGAACATTTTCTGTTGCAGCCTGGACAGGCAGGTGAAAATGAGCAAGGTATGTCTGTGTGAGGATCTCTGAAATCTCACTGCAGAAAGCAAGCTCTTTTAAAACCTTTTATATCTGTGTGCATTCCTACAACCTGAAGAAGAAAACCAGTGCTGTTCTTCCTTGTTCTCTGCAAAGTAAATACTCTGATTCAGCCTGTTTTGGGCAGGAGTGTGGGTGAAAGACCTGTCCTGGGATCCTGCCTCCTGCAGGCTGTGCAAAGACTTGCTTTTAGCATCCTTACTACTTGGCAAAAACATTCAGAAGGCAGGATGATGGTGTCTTGGTACAATATATTCCTTATAAAACACTAAGGGGTTTAAAAAATTCCTGCATTTTGAAGTAAATGTCAGTGCTAACCTCGGGGGGAGAACTTCCAGTACTTTTTGGCCTAATATGTAAGGAACACAGCCATATAGTAGACTGAATCACCAAAAACAAAGAATCACTGTGCAGTAGTGTATCTAATTTTTTTCTTCTTTTTTTTTAAAGTAAAAATGTTTTTTCAAAACATAATGTGACAAGGAAAACTGAAGGCAAAAGCATCTGAAACGTACTGACTGTTCTCAGCCTCTTCAAATGAGCATGGACTGTGGGCATCTGGGACCATGGGTGGTTTGGAGAGATCAGGAGATTTTTTTCCCAGAGCAACTGGAATTGAAGTCTGCCCTGCCTGTTCCCTAATTTTTTTGTCTAATGTGGTTTGTAGTTCTGCGTTTTAAAGAAAAAACAAATACCTACTAGTAACAGTTTTATATTAGGCAGATTTTAAAATGCACCTTCAGTGTAGGCTGGAAGTGGGGTGCATCCAGACATACATGTGTCCTGTATGTGTGGAGCCATCTGGATCCATAATCTTGTAACTTCCACTCACAGTGCTCTGAGAGGGCTTTTAAAGCTCTTGCTTTGTTTGTCTTTAATGTTTTGGTGTAGGGAGGCTGTTCTTCCTCCGCAGTAACTTCTTGAGATGTTGGTGGATTGCAGGCTGACCGCAGGATGACAGGACACCCTCTTCTGTCCCTAGGGATCTGCAGGGTGATCAGGAGCACAGTGGTGTTGTGGGGGGAAGGACTTGGCTGGGCATCACTGATGTCAGTGCCTGGTGTTGAGAGGGA